CTCTGGCTGTTGCAGCCATTTGGGGAGTGAAGCAGCAGATAGAAGATCTCTCTATCTCTCTCTCTCTCTAATTCTGCCTTTCAAATAAAGAAATAAATCTTTTTTTGAAGTATATAGTCAATAAAATGAAAATCAAATGATATTAAGAAGTAGATTAACAGCTAAGGAGACAATGGATGAGCTAGAACATCTGAAGACATTACCTAGAGTGAAATATAGAGATTTGAAAATTTGCAAAATATATGAATGGTTATGAGACATGGAGGAAGGAATAAGAAGTAGTATAAGCCTAATCTGAGTTCCAAACAGTTAACAGAGAGAAACTTTATTTATTTTTAGAATTTTTAGTTGTTTAATTTATTTGAAAGATAGACACAAAGAGGCCATCTACTGGTTCACTTCAACAGTCAGGACTGGGCCAGGGTGAAGTCAGGAGCCCAGAACTCCATTTGAGTCTCCCATTGGATATCAGGGACCTGAGAACTTGGGTCATCATATACTGCTTCCAAGGCACATTAGCAGGAAGCTAGATCAGAAGCAGAGTAGCCGGGACTCAAACTGGCACTCTGATATGGAATGCTAACATCCTAAGTGGTGGCTTAACTTGTTGTGCCACAATGTATACCCCTGTTTTCCTTTTTCAAAAGTTTTTTTCTTTAAAGGTTTTATTTATTTGAGATAGAGAGTTACAGACAGTGAGAGGGAGAGACAGAGATAAAGGTCTTCCGTCTGCTGGTTCACTCCCCAAATGGCCGCAACTGCTGGAGCTGCACCAATCCGAAGCCAGGAGTCAGGAGCTTCTTCCAGGTCTCCCATATGGGTGCAGGGGCCCAAGGACTTGGGCCGTCTTCTACTGCTCTTCCAGGCCACAGCAGAGAGGTGGATTGAAAGAGGGGTAGCGGGACTAGAACCAGTGCCCATATGGGATGCCAGCACCACAGGCAGAGGCTTAACCTACTGAGCCACAGCACTGGCCCCATCAAGAGTTTTAATTTAATTATTTGTTTTGATTGTTTGAAAGTCTGAGAGATAGAGAAACAGAGATTGAAGACAGAGGGAGAGTTTCCATCTGCTGGTTCACTTTCCAAATGCCCACAACAGCTGGAGCTGGGTCAGGCTGAAGCCAGGAGTCTGGAATCCTACATGGATTCCAGGTCTCCCACATGGGTGGCAGGAACCCAAGTGCTGGAGCAATCACCTGCTGCCTCCTAGGGTATGCATTAGTTGGAAGCTGGAATCAGAAGTGGGGCTAGGGCTGAAACTCAGGCACTCTTATATGTGATGCAGGCATCCTAAGTGACATCTTAATGGCTGTGCCAAACACCTGCCCCTGTTTTTCTTTTTATGTAACCATAAAGATGGGTTTGAAGTAGCATCTCATTTTAACTTTGGCTTGCATTTTGCTAATTGTTAGTGGTATTGAGCATCTTTTTATGTGTCTGTTGACCATTTATGTATCTTTGGGAAGTGAATTTTCAGTGTACCTTCTGAGTAAGTTAATTTTTAAGTATTTTATCCTTTTTGATGATATTGTAAGTGGAATTGTTTTTGTAATTTCATTTTAAGATTATTCATTGTTAGTATATATAATGCAGTTAGTTTTTTGTGTATTGGCTCTGTGTCCTGCTGAATTCATATATTCTAACAAGTTTTTTTTTATGTGTGTCTGTGTATCTTTACACTTTTCTGTATGTATATAAAGTTAAGAGTGTCATGGCATAACAGACTAACCCATTGCTTGCGATGCTGGCATCCCATATCAGAGTACACATTTGGTTCAAGTCCTTGACTGCTCAACTTCTGATTGAGCTTCCTTGTTAATGCTTCTGGGAAGGCAGCAGAAGATGGCCCAAGTACTTGGGACCCTGCCATCCACGTGGGAGACCAGGATAAAGTTTTTGGCTCCTGGTTTCAGATTTGCCCAGCCCTAGCCATTGCAGCTGTTTGGGGAGTGAATCAATTGATGGACAATCTCTCTCTCTCTCTCTCTCTCTCTCTCTCTCTCTCTGCCTTTCAAGTGAATAAATAAATAAAATCTTTTTTAAAAATGATCAGGTTGTCTGTGAACAAATATGTCTTTATTCTTTATTTCTTCCTTTCCAATTTGGATGATTTTTATTTCATTTTCCTTGACTAGACCTTCCAGTACTATGTTGAATAGAAGTGGTGAAAATCAGAATCCTTGTCTTGTTACTGTACTTAAAGAAAGAAAGAGCTTTTAGTCTTTTGTCATTGAGTGTGTTGTTCATTGTGGGGTTTTTGCTTATGGTTTTTATTACATTGTGGCAATTGTCTTTTCATCATGAAAGTCTTTTCATGTCTTTTCATTCATGAAAGTGCTGGATTTTGTCAAACGCTTTTTCTGTATCAACTGAAATGACCATGTGAGGGATTTCCCTCATTGTATTAATGGTAGTATTACACTGACCCATCTTCTTGTATTTTGGTATGTTTCATATATCAGAAAACCTTGCACTCATGAGATAAATCCTACATTAAAAGGTCTAATCCTTTTTAATGTGCTGAATTCAGTGTGCCAGTGTTTTGTTGAGGATATCTGCATCTGTATTTATTAGTGTTATTGGCCTGTAGTTTTTCTCTTTTTGTGATGCCTTTATGTAGCATCGGTATCAGGGTAATGGTAAGGGAAATTTGAATAACATAGCTACAAGTCTGATATAAAAAATACATGACTGTATGTATGTATAAAACATTTATAGTATGTACCTATAAATGATATGTATTTGTATATACACATAGAATTTTATATCCACAAATAAAGAATACCTAATTTTTCAGTTACCCAAAGAACATTTATAAAAGTTCATTATGTACAGAAAGATCTCTATAATCCTCCCAGTTCTCCTAACACAATGTAACATAACTAAGAAAAAAATCAATAAAATGATTGTCAACCACTTTTCTGAATAATTCAGGTCAAAGAAAAAAAAGTCTACTCAGAAAATAAGAAGAGTGAGAACACTGTATACCAACAAGACTGTTCTCAGAGGAACATTTGTATGACTAAATGTTTTTATTAGAAAGAAAAAAAAAAGACCAAAAACAAATGAATCAAGTGTTTACCTTGTAGAAGTCCAGATTCTTTGTTTGCAAAAACAGAATTCAACTCACACAAACTAAAAGAGATGAGATAAATTTTTGGCTCAGCTCCCAGAACCAAAAGAAAAAGCTGAGAAATCAGGCCTGGAAAGAGCAGGAGTCAGGCTGGCTGTGGGGAACCAGGTTCCACAAAGGATGAGTCAGTCACGGAGGAATCGGCTACCAGATGGGTGAGCTACAGCTTTCCCCAGCTTTATCATTTTGCTTAGCATTCATTTGCCAGGGAGAAAGCATCCAGTCCGCCGAGGTCAGGCTTCGTGTCTATTTTTTAAAACAGAAATGTTTGGTGCCCTTAGTTGACCGTCTCACACATTATCCAATGCGGAAATGTTAGTTCCCCAAGGAAAATTGGAGAAGGAGCAATGTTTTAATGTTGCAAAACGTTAAAACGTTGTCTTTAGAAGCTCAGGTGTTGGCTACATCTTTATTTATAGCACCAAAAACTTACCAGTGCTCATCAATATTAACTGAATGGTTAAATAATATGTAGCACATTTAAGATAGTCTGTATTGTGGCTATTGGTTATAGTGTGAATTAACATTTAAAGCTGGAAAAGCTTATTATCAAAAAATAGGATAAACCTATATAGTCTATGAATTTAATTGAGTTGAAAAGTTTTATTTTTTTATTTCTGGGGCCAGAACTGTGGTGTAACAGGTAAAGCTGCTGCCCGCAACACTGGCATCCCATATAGGCGCTGGTTAGAGTCCTGGTTTCTCCACTTCTAATCCAGCTTGCTGCTAATGGCCTAGGAAAAGCAGTGGAAGATGCCCAACTGCTTGGTCCCCTGTCACCCACATGGGAGACCTGAAGGAAGCTCCTGGTTCCTGGCTTCAGCCTGGCCCAGTGCTGGCCATTGAGGCCATTTGGGGAGTGAACCAGTGGATGGAACATCTTTCTGTCTCACCCTTTCTCTCTGTAATTCTGACTTTGAAAATAAATTTTCAATTTAAAAAATATTTATTTATTTATTTGAAAGGCAGAGTTGGGGAGGGGGAGAGAGAGAGAGAGAGAGACAGGAAGAGCTTCCACCCACTGGTTCATTCCCCAAACTACAGCTGGGCTGTTCTGAAGCCAGGAGCCAGGAGCTTCATCCTGGTCTCCCAGGTGGGTGCAGGGGCCCAAGCACATGGACCATCTTCTGTTTTCCCAGGCTGTTAGCAAGGAGCTGGGTCAGAAGTGGTACAGCTGGGACTCATATGGGACGCTGGTGCTCATATGGGCTGCCAGTGTTGCAGGCAGTGGCTTTACCCGCTACACCACAACACTGGCCCCTAAATAAATATTTTAAAGGTTTTGTTTCCTTTTTTCTTAAAGATTTTATTTATTTATTTATTTATTGAGAGGCAGAGTTATGGACAGTGAGAGGGAGAGACAGAGAGAAAGGTCTTCCTTCTGTTTTTTCACTCCCCCCACCCCCAAATGGCTGCAACTGTCGGAGCTGTGCTGATCCGAAGCCAGAAGCCAGGAACTCTTCCAGGTCTCCCACATGGGTGCAGGGGCCCAAGGACTTGGGCCATCTTCTACTGCTTTCCCAGGCCATAGCAGAGAGCTGGACTGGAAGAGGAGCAGCTGGGACTAGAATCGGCGCCCATATGGGACGCAGGCAGAGGATTAACCTACTGCGCGACGGTGTCGACCCCTAAAGGTTTTGTTTCTGCATGTAACTAACACCTGAAAGCAATGCACTGAACATGTGAATAGTAGAATAGTAGCTCGTTTCCTCCTCCCTGCCTCTCCCCCATTTTGTATTGCGCTGGGTTGAATGATGACCCCCTAAAATATATATCCATGTCCTTACCCTTGAGCTCCTGAATATGACCTTATTTGGGAAGTGTCTTTGTAGATCTGTAGCTGTGATTAAATTAATCTTTTCCAGATGAGAGCATCTTAGATGATCTGGACGGGCCCTACATTTCTTGATCCGTTATGAGTCAGAAGAGGAGAAGGCACGGGCAGAGAAGGCCGGGCCGTGTGAAGGTAGAGGTCCAGAGTGGAGCACCGCGGGCTCGAGCGGCAGCAGAAGCTGGGAGAGACAGGAAGCGAACCTGCTCTGGAGCCAGTGCAGGGAGGGCTGCCTGCTGACACCTTGACTTTAGACCAGAGCTTCCAGAGAGCGCATTTGTGGTAAAGTCACCCCGTTTGTCACAGCATCCCCGGGAAATACTCCAAAAAGTGCACACAAACAGCAGTCTATCTACCTAAGTTATATAATATGTATCGCCCCCCGTAAAGATATTTTAAAGTTTATATAGATATTAGCAAATTTAATATCAGACGAAATCCAATTTAAGCAAATAATTCAATGGTTTTCTGTTGTGGTGGGCAGTTCCGGGGAGAAGGACCCTCTCCGGCGCGGCTCTGTTCGCTGCTGGGAACGCTTGGGGTCGTGTTGGGGTCCGGTTTTGGCTTCCTTCGGCTAGGGTTGGCCTGGCCAAGGCGGCGTTGTCCGGGTTCGGGCCGTTTCTTTCGCTGCGGCCTGTGTCCCCGCCCTGCCTGGCGCCGGCGCTCCGCGTCTTGGATTCCCGCTAGTTGGGGGAGAGTCGCCTATTTGCAAATGGGGTTGTCACCGCCTTCTCACCTTTCCACCCGCAGCGGCAGTAGCGCCTAAGCAGGGACAGAGAGCACGGCTGGGCGGGAGCGCGCCGAAGGCACTACACCCATCGGGCACCTGTCGGGAGAGGCGGTGAAAGCGAGGGCCAGCTTCGTTTTGGAATCCTGGAAGTGGTCCCCTTTGTCTTCCGTATTCTCGCTGCCCAGCATCCCCAGGTCCCTCAGTACAGCTGGCGGATTGGGAGTTCCAGCCCGCCAGCGGCCGGCTCCCATTCGCACGGTGCGCCGCAGGGTTTACGCCCGAGCCGCAGAACCGTCAGCAGGGGGCGCCAGAGCACGGTGGGCCGGTGCTGCGCTGCTCTCCGGAGAAGGGCGGTGGTTGCCCACTGTCCTCTCCACTCCTTCCTGGAATTTGAGATCGCCCTGAAGGGAGTATGAAAACCTCCAGTTAGGATGTAAGATCCCAGAGTGGGTATTTTCTAGGGAGAGCAGGGAGGCAGAAAACCTTAAGGAATCAGCCCCAGGCAGCCTGGCGAGGGATTGAGGTTGTGCAGGGACTAAAGGAGCTGACAGCCCAGTGTCTCCTCAGACCCCAGAGTGGTGCAGGGAGCCATGCAGACGTTTCTCTTTGCTCAAGAGGGGTGCGAGGTGGCTGGAAGAGGGGACGTGGCCTTGGGGTCCGGTCCAGAAGTGCATGTGTCCCAAAGCAAGGAAGGCTGGGAGATAGGCCGCTAAACTATGGGCTGCAAAGTCTCTGGCAAGTGACAAAGCCTGGGCGGGAACGGTGACGTTCGTCTCGCTGCACACCAGCATGGACAGGCAGTGACCTCGGAACATGAAGATAACCCTCTCTTCGTGCTACCAGAGTGGCCCATGAGTTAGGTGCACTCCCTGGGAGCAGTTGGGAAGGGGAAGCCCTTATTGGGAACATCCTGGGCGAGGGAGGAGTTGTTTTTGAGTGTACCTGAAAGTGACCAATATTATGTGTGTGTGGTTCACATTTTGTTTCTTTCTTTTTAAGATTTTATTTATTTATTTGAGAGGTAGAGTTACAGACAGTGAGGGGAGAGACAGAGAGAAAGGTCTTTCCTTGGCTCACTCCCCAAATGGCCGATCCGAAGCCAGGAGTCAGGTGCCTCTCCTGGTCTCCCACTTGGGTGCAGGGGCCCAAGCACCCGGGCCATTCTCCACTGCTTTCCTAGGCCACAGCAGAGAGCTGGACTGGAAGAGGAGCAGCCGGGACTAGAACCTGCGCCCACATGGGATGCCGGCGCCTCAGGCGAAGGATTAACCCACTGCACCACGGTGCCTCTTTCTTTTTTAAATGGGCATTAGGAGTACTGAATACTCCAAATAGAGAAAATGTGTGTAAGAGATTAATGTTACACTTTCTTACCAAATTAGAATCTGTGGCCTGTCGATTGGCTGTCAGCGACAACTATTCACAACAGCTGAGTTCCTAAAAGAAACATTAGTAAATTCCAAAAAGCAAAAATTGTGTAGATCCCATTCTCCAGCCACCTTGTAACTGATGACCATGGCAAGACAAAACAAGAAAACCCTGTCAGTAAGGAGTTTTAAAAGAGAAGACTACCCAACGGCTAAGTCATAGAGAAATCAAGATTACCACCTCAGATTTTTCAGAGAAAGAATAAATAAGAAAACACATTATATTAGTCTGTGATGTGACAAAGCTGTTTTCAGACACAAGTTTATAGCTTCAAATGTTTTTATTAGCTGATAGAGAAGAATAAACTGAATGTTCCACTCAGAAACCTATAACCATGGAAATAAATGAATTAGAAAAAGAGGCCGGTGCCGCGACTCAATAGGCTAATCCTCCGCCTAGCGGCGCCGGCACACCCAGTTCTAGTCCCGGTCGGGGCGCCGGATTCTGTCCTGGTTGCCCCTCTTCCAGTTCAGCTCTCTACTGTGGCCCGGGAGGGCAGTGGAGGATGGCCCAAGTGCTTGGGCCCTGCACCCCATGGGAGACCAGGAGAAGTACCTGGCTCCTGCCTTTGGATTGGCCACAGCGTGCCTGCCGCGGCGGCCATTGGAGGGTGAACCAACGGCAAAAGGAAGACCTTTCTCTCTGTCTCTCTTTCTCACTGTCCACTCTGCCTGTCAAAAAAAAAAAAAAAAAAAGTTAAAAAAAAAAACTAATGGATTGCACTAAAGGAAAATGTGTAGCCCACAGTCACGCCTCCCAAGGGTCCTTCAGCCGTACTTGGGCGGCTCTATCCGCAGGGGCGTGTCCTCTCTCCAGGTGCCCACTGTTTCCGCAGGGGCGTGTCCTCTCTATGCCGCACACTTCCTCCTCACTCATGCCCCGCCCCCCAACTGGGTTCAGGCAGCTTCTGAAATCCTGAAGAGCCTTCAGCTGCAGAGCTCAGGTGAGACAGGGGACATCCTTGGGGGCAGCAGCAGCAGGAGATGAAGTGAGTTCCTATTACCAGCTGGAAAGTGCTTACACGTGTGTGCATGTGTGTGTGCACACAACTGGGGGGGGGCATTGTGTTCTTTCATATCCTGAAATTACACTAAATTGTTGAATCCAGATAGCTTCTAGTATCCAGTGCCAGCACAGAAGCACATATGTCATCTGTCCTACCACCTGTGACGCACATGCATTATAAGCCAAGGATTTTGATTCATTCCAGTGGTGCCCCTGAGATTTAAAAGCAAAAGAAGAAAAAGACTCCCAGAAAGGGGAAGGCTTCATTTCTTTTCCCAAATATCAATCATCTGCTATTAACTGAGCACCATATGCCAGGAGCCCAGTGCCAAGTAATCTTTATCTCATTTAACCCCTCACTCTAGGTGGCACTGTTATTTTGCCATTTAATAGATGAGGCTCATGCAGGGGTTAAGGTGACTTGCTGAGTCGCACAGTGAGCCCAAGTCTGAGCCAGGAGTATAAATGAGGTTTGTGTGTATCCAAAGATACTTAGAATTATGCTATAATCAACCGTACTTTAGAAATTATTTTGCGGGCCGGCACAGTGGCTCAGTTGGTTAATCCTCTGCCTGGGCACCGGCATCCCATATGGGCGCCGGGTTCTAGTCCTGATTGTTCATCTTCTAGTCCAGCTCTCCGCTGTGGCCTGGGAGGGCAGTGGAGGATAGCCCAAGTGCTTGGGTGCCTGCACCCGCGTGGGAGACCAGGAGGAAGCACCTGGCTCCTGGCTTTGGATTGGCATAGCTCCAGCAGTAGCGGCCATTTGGGGGGTGAACCAACGGAAGGAAGACCTTTCTTTCTGTCTCTCTCTTAGATATATAGAATACATCTAAAGATAATACATATGCCTACCGAGGTCTTTTTATTTTTGGCCCTATATGGATGATGTACTATAACAGGAGTTAGGGACATGGTGTTGTGTTACAACTGCCACCAGGTGGCAGCAGAATCTGTAGCTTTTTCACAAATATCAGATTTGGCAGGTGGTGAATCTTGGTCAGATAGACGGAGCCTCTGGGTTCTCAGGATCCTCTGTTCTTCCTCACTCTGCTACACTGCCTCCCACAAAGCATCATGGCCCTGGCTTGCAGGCCAACACCACTGCAGCTAACATGCAATGAGTCTGCCCCTCAAGATGTAAGTTACATAAAGCAAGTCCTCTACCTATAGAATGTTGCTGACATTTAGTTATTGTGTTTCACACAGTGTTTGTTTTCTTGAGTTCCTCCTTTGCCATTTCCCTCCAAATTTTGGGCTCGAGTCTTTTTTTAAAAAATATTTATTTATTGCTCTTTTCCGGCTGGAACCATGGAGGGTGCCAAAGAGAAGAAGAAGGTTCCTGCTGTGCCAGAAACCCTGAAGAAGAAGCGGAGGAATTTCGCAGAGCTGAAGATCAAGCGCCTGAGGAAGAAGTTTGCCCAAAAGATGCTTCGGAAGGCAAGGAGGAAGCTTATCTATGAGAAAGCGAAGCACTATCACAAGGAATACAGGCAGATGTACAGAACTGAAATTCGGATGGCGAGGATGGCAAGAAAAGCTGGAAACTTCTACGTACCTGCAGAACCCAAGTTGGCATTTGTCATCAGGATCAGAGGTATCAATGGTGTGAGCCCCAAAGTCCGAAAAGTGCTGTAGCTTCTTCGTCTTCGCCAGATCTTCAATGGCACCTTTGTTAAGCTCAACAAGGCCTCCATTAACATGCTGAGGATTGTGGAGCCATATATTGCATGGGGGTACCCAAATTTGAAGTCAGTAAATGAACTAGTTTACAAACGTGGCTATGGCAAAATCAATAAGGAGCGAATTGCTTTGACAGATAACACTCTGATTGCCCGCTCTCTTGGTAAATACAATATCATCTGCATGGAGGATCTGATTCATGAGATCTACACTGTGGGGAAACACTTCAAGGAAGCAAATAACTTCCTGTGGCCCTTCAAGTTATCTTCTCCCCGAGGTGGGATGAAGAAAAAGACCACCCATTTTGTAGAGGGTGGGGATGCTGGCAACAGGGAAGACCAAATCAACAGACTTATTAGAAGGATGAACTAAGGTGTCTCCTATGGTATTTTTGTAATCTGGTCAGATAATAAATGGCAACTACAGTCAAATTGAA